TATCCCTGTTCTGAGCTGTCATGGTCCCAATCACAGCGTGGTCTCAGCTCCATTCCTCGGAAGTGGCCGATGGCCCCTCGCTTTCCCAAGGGACTGTTCCCTCCCCACGGGTGGAGATCAGCTTTGCCGGTGCTCCACCACCACCTGGCACAATTCCAGTGGCTCCTTTGGGATTTGGTACGTCCAGGGACCAAATTCCACCCTCAGTTCTCCCCACTGCAGCTCTGTGCGAGTGTGGCAGCACTCGAGGGTGGGAGGAAACCCTCACGTGGATATTTGGGGGGGTGGGAAAGGAGGGGGAAATCCCTCCTGGACATTCACATCCAGAGTTGTTGGATACAGCCCGGATTTGTGGACTCAGCTTTGCTTTGCTTCTGTTTTAGCTGTTTCTCTGCTACCTTTTCAGCAGATTTCTTATTACACTGCACTGGATTGCTATATTTTTAACCAGAAATAAACTAAGGATTAGAGCATGTGCCAGTTAAATTCAGTTCTTTTCCTTACATGGTCTGATTCCCTCCTGTCGCAGCTTTTCCTCCTCTTTTCCTTCCTTTCCCTTTCCTGGCAGAGGGCTATGGGTGGACAGGGGAAAGGAGAACTTTGAAATTTAAATTTCCACAGTAACTGTCCATCATCTTCCCACCTCTTCCTTTTTTGTTGCTGTTTTGGTTTTCCCTTTTGGGTCCTTTAGTCATCATTTTTTCCCTCTTGAATGGTCCCTGCACACCCGAAATGAGCCAAACAACGACACGTCGTGATTGCAGCGCTGGGAACTCACCCTGGGGTTTGTGATTCTGGTTTTACTCCTTGCAAAGACTCTTCAGGAAGGTGTTTTTTTTTTTGGCATTCGAGTGCACATGACACAAAGGTCCCATCATGAGCTGGTTAAACAGATCCCTGCAAACGCAGTAGGATATTTGGATACATATAAACCAGCACAAAAATGCCTCATTATCAATCTAATAAAAATACTAGTGATTCTCTGACTAGTTTTTCCCACTAGTGACTGACTGGTTACTGCTGCTCTTGCCCCTGGACCAGCACAAATCCAATGTGGATTTTCAATCTCTCTGTTCCTGTGAGCTCAGTTAGGAAAGATAGTCAAAGGCTAATATTAATTGGCTCCTAAACCACGTGGTTAAAAAATAATGATTCCTTACTTAATCCTGTGGAGCTGAGCAATTTGTCTTAGTCCTGGGCTTTTCACATTTGCCCAAGGCCAGAAATATTCTTGAGAAGTAGCCCAGAGAGAGAGGTAATTCAGTGTATTTCCCCATCTTATGAGCCCTGGTTCCTGCAGATCTACCTGAGGCACATTAAAATGTCTATCAACAGGGCACATAAATCCATGGAAATTGTCCAGACCTGCTGTTTTATGTCCATGCTGGCAGATGCACGTGGACACTTGAGGTTTAGATCATTTTTTTAGGCTGCAATGGAATTTTTATGTTCCTACAGCAGAACCCGAAGCACGAGGAGGGGCTGGGGCTCAGGGAACCATCCCACCTGCTGTCACAGCAGATCCACTGGGAAAAGGGCACCTGCCCCTCCCCAGGGAGACTCAGGACCTCAGCCAGACCCCACCTGTGTGAGGGATGGGCTGGTCTGTCAGTGCAGCCCTGGGGAAGACAAGAAGGAAGGAAGGGAATGAAGATAAAAACCCTCTGCCTGCTCCTGCCACGTCAGCTTCTCACCAGCCCATCTGGCGTCTGGTTTGCTGTACCCGAGACCCAGATTCGGGGCCTCTCCAGGGCCTGATCTTCCAGAGAAACTGAGCTGTGGCAGCATCTATTTACCAAGTGTGGAGCTGGGAAGTGCTGCTGGGAAAAAAACCATCCAGACTGCAACACAAGGGGAGGGGCAAGAGGAGAAATGATGTCGAATCGATGGTGAAGGTCTTAATTGAAACCTAAGGACTAATTACAGCCTGACGGGCTTTGCCAAGTTAAGGAGGGTGGGAAAAGGAATTTTTGGAAGCTGTCAGAGGGTGAGGTTGGCTCCAAGGGTTTGTGCCAAGGTGGAACTGAGCAGAGGCTCAGTTGGCTGGGATCTCCTGCCGGTGCTGCAGCTTTGGGGCATGTGGGTGAGGTGTTTGCACAGAACTGGGGCCCTGCAGAACCCGGACATTTTGGCAGGGTTTCCTGATTTAAGGAAACACATCAACTCCTTGCACAGCCCCTACATGAGCTATATCAGTTGTAGGATCATAAAACCACAGGATGGTTTGGGTTGGAAGGAACTTAAAGCTCATCCAGTCCCACCCCCTGTCACGGGCAGGGACACCTTCCACTATCCCAGGTTGCTCCAAGCCCTGTCCAGCCTGGCCTCGGATACTTCCAGGGATGGGGCAGCCACAGCTGCTCTGGGATGTTTAGGGCTGGTTGAATCCACCCACCCAGCAGTATTGCCGGAGCAAGAGAGTGGAAGTTTTGCCAATACAAACCAGACCACGAATGAACCCAGACTGCAGGAGGAAGGGTGAGATCAAGGCAAATTTACCAGCAGATGCCTCTAGTTCCCCTCTACCAGAGAAGGGTGAGGGAGAATCTTTCCCTATACAAACCTATCCTTCATCCTTGGCACTGCTGCAATCCAGCTTCAACTCCAGGGAAAAAGTCCTGTAGTGCCTATATCTGGATTTGCAAAGGGAAGCAATGGTGAAGTACATCTGGTAAGAAGTGTGTTCTACCCTGACTGGCTTGACCTCTGGGCTGGGGTGATATTAAAGCTACTAATTTTCAAACAAAACGAAATTAGTAAAAATTAGTAAAAATAACAATTCAAACAAAATCTGCACGTGCAACTCAGTGGCAGATTCCCCAAAACTCTGCACACAAAGACATGGACTCATCACACAGGAAGGATCAAATGCCGACGAGACCAAGGTAAACCCACCAAGGGCCCCCAGGGGGACTGACTGAGCACGATGGATTCTCTCCCAGGTCATCAATAAAGGGTTTGCTTTGTTTTCACCTTTCCTAGGTTATCAATAAACGGTTTGTTTTCACCTCTCACCTGTTAGTTTGTGGGGAAGGTCCCTCCCTATCAAACATGGTTTTCCCTTGACAATTCCATCCCTCTGGCAGCCTGCTCTGTTTAATCCTCGTTCTGTTCTAATTATCCTGGCAGATCCCAGCCCTGCTCTCCTGGGATTTGGCTCCCCGGTGATGTCCCTGCCAGTGCAATACCCCTGGCACCTGGATTTCCCTGCACAAGGACAGCCAGTCCTGGTGGCACCTCAAGTCATCCCTTGTTTGATGCAGCACACACTTGGATCCCATCTGTTGTCCCTGTGGACACTGCACTGCTCAGCTGGGAAGGGAGTGATGCCTTGAGGAAGAGAGAGAGGCTGAGTGGGGAAAAGCAATTCCCTGGAGTGTCAGCCCATTCCCTCCTGTCCTCAACACTCCACTAGGTAGGACATTTCACTGGTCATAAAGAGCTCACTTGTGGGACAACTGGACCAACATGTGAGAAACTGAACTGGGAAATTCCCCAAGCAAAGGCAAAACCTGGGCCAGAGGACAGGAAAATGGAAGAGGATTCTGTTCATGCATCAGGGGTTACAGAGGCTCTCATACAGAGGAGGTAGGAAAGGATTCCCAGGTTTCTCCAGGCAAGGCAGACACACCTCAGGGCTACTGGTGCACCTTACAACCAGCACCTGTGTATCTCTTCCACACGGGGAGAAAAACAAGTAGAATAAAGTTGGGACTGGATGAATTGAGAAAACCAAGATGATGTAGCCAAGTAAGTTTATTGTAGAAACCCTTGGAGACACGTTCTGGCCCCAGTCAGGGTGCAAAATTTGGGACCAGTAAACATAGTGATGTGCAGTTTGTCTTGAAAGACTCAAAACAACTTTTTTGAACATAAAGAAGTCAGTATTGTATAGCCCAGCCTCAGCAGGACAGGTGCTTGGACAGCAATCCTGTTCCTCAAGACCCTCCCACAACCTTCCCAGGAATAACAACATATCCAGAGCATTAAGCAAGAAGGCTGCTCAGCCCAGAGGCCCTCAGGGAAGGGAAAGGCTGAAGTCCTAGGATGCCTTCTGGACATCAGGCTGGGTTTAGCAGGGCTGGCCATGGCTCCCAGCACGTTTGTTCACTCCTGGAACAGCCTCACTGCCGTCTAGACCGAATCCTCATGGAATGTCTTTGCCATGGCATGAGCCACCTTGACCACCTTCTTCTCCTTGGCCTCGGGGCCCATGTGGCTGCGGGCCACTTTGATCCAGTACTGCTCTGTCCTGGACAGGTATTCCTCAGGATTCTCACCGGGCTCCACTGCTGGATGCTGCTCCTCTCCTGGTGCAATGGGAGGGAGACACATGGAGAAGTCACAGCCAGGCCAAGAACACTTGTGTGTCCAAACGTAACACCCTCAAAATCTAGCAGTAACCAATAAAATTTCTCTTCTACCCCAAGAGGAGTGTACTATGAAAGTTTTGCTTTTGCTGGAAAACTCACCTGGCTGTCAGTGAGACTTTCCAGGCTGGCAGCAGAACCAGGCATTGTAAATTAGTTAATTATTGTAGATTATTTAGATTAGTATGGAGAAGGCATTCATTTGACCATTACCTTCATCATCTTCACTCTCCTCTTCAGAGCTCTCCTCTTCCTCTTCTCCTCCCTCTGCACCTTCCACATCATCATCCCCTTCATCCGACTCTGACTCCTCCAGCCACTCTTGGGCTTCTTTGATGAGAAGAGAAACAGTAGAGAAATACAAAGAGATAATTAAGGTACAAAGACATAACCCTAGAGATAATTAAGGTATGAAGACATAGCCCCAGGTAATGCCCATGTGCTTCAAAGGACCCAAGACTCTCACTGCCCTGAGACGTGAGGACAGGCAACAGCATCCCTGTCCTCTGCCAAGTGGACAAGCCTGGCACACCAGGACTTGCCAGGACAGCACATGCCACCGGTGAACAAAGATACTGTTTACAGGTCTCAGTTTCCAAAGCAGACAGACCAGTGACAGCAAAGCTCTGGACCAGACAGGTTTCTGGTAAGGCATTATCACACACTTCCTGTTTAGGAAAAACCATTACTCAAAGGCCCATCCCTCCCCTTGAGGAAGCTCCATCGTTGGGTTTTTCCCTGGTGTGGTGTTGCTACACTCAAGGCAAAGGGACAGATCCCACCATGAGCTTACTTGGATCCATCTCCACCAGCACCTTCCACTCCCCCATCTTGTGCAGGTCGATGCTGTGCAGGTCACTGAGGGTGAACTGGCGGTCGCCCACCTCGAACATCCCCCCGTACACGTAGAGGACCCCGTGTTTCACTGCCACCATGGCGTTGGAACGTGGGCACGGCTCCACCTGCTGTCCCAGGGCTCCACCTTCCTCCTCCTCCTCCTCCTCCTCAGATTCAGCCCTTTCCTTCTCTTCTGCAGGTCCAGAGATCACCTGCTTGATGGTCATGACAGTCCCGTCTTCTGCCATCACCTCTTTGATGATCTCCAGGGGGCCCTGGGAAGGTCTCTGCTCCTCCTCCTCATCTCCAGCAGCCTCTGACTCGGCTTGTTTGCCTCGTCTCCGCTTCCTCTTCTCTGATTTTGGTCCCTGTTCACAGGAACCAAAGGAGACTGGGTGTGAACTGTGTGCACCGAAGAGCACTTTAACATAAATAGTACAGATGCTGCTGGGAGGGAGGGGGAGAACTGTCATTTTTCATTACAATTCTGAGTCTCAGGTGATAGGTGCAACTTCAGCATGAATTTCTAACAGCCTAAAACGAGGAGCAGTGGAAATCCTGGAGAATCCATAGCACGGAATTGCTTCCTAACAGCTCTTCTGCTCTCAGGTGCCACAAACACACTGAGAGGCCACTGCTCTGTGAGAGGAGCAAGATAGAGTAACCCACGATTTCCTGAAATCACAGCAATTGCTGGGTGCTAAATTACGGTGCATTACCAGGCAGCACTCCAGGTCTTGGGAGTACTGTATGAAAGAGCTGGAAAACAGGCAGTTTTGGAAGGCAGAAGCAAACCTCTGAGTGGATGTTTGCCTGTTATTACGTGATTGACTTCTCCATTTTGAGAACAAAGCCAGACACAGGCGGGAGAAGAAGAAGTTCAAGCAGGTCGTTTGCACCTCACTTGCCCCTTGTGAGTGGTTCAAACACAATCAAAGAGCCCAGCTGGGCAGAGGGCCTCAGTTCTGAAGCCCTTATGAGCCAAGGTTAATATTTCATCTCTTCTGGTAGCTCAACAATGGGGAAAAGAGGGAGGGTTTTTGATCCCAACAAGATCTTTACACAGTAGCTTTTACTGCACTATCTCAGACTCGCACGTCTGACCTGGAAACATCCTCCAGTAAAACACCAGAAATATGTTTTCAAGCTGCTTGGTTTCATTTTGCATTACACAACAACGAGGCAGAGACAGCCTAAATCCTGGAGGAAGGGAATTGCCTCCTGAGCCACTCTTTTACAACTGGAGTTACTAGAAAGGCTTCCTCTAAAGGGAGAAAGCTCGTTGCTCCAACCCTGGATGTGTCCAAGGCCAGGCTGGACACAGGGTTTGGAGCAACCTGAGTGAGTGGAGTCCCTCCCCACAGCAAGGGGTGGAAGGGCTTTAGGGTCCCTTCCAGCCCAAACCAGCCTATAATACAGTATGTTTCCGTGAAAGTTCCAAGAGGTGCAAAGGACAATGAACTGAACAGATCTGAATATACAGACCTTGAGCTGTGCAGGGAACCAGCGGTTTTTCCCCATGTCATAGAAATAGATGTCATTGAAGAAGTCCCCCTCAAGGCTCTCCTCGTCCTCCTCATCCTGCACCCCCCCAAAAAGGAGGGAGCGGTTACCGGGACCAAGAGCCACGGAGAATCCAGACCTGGGAGGGGGTTTCACTCCGGAGGGGTTGAGCCGACTCCACGTCCACTTCTCTGGTAATGGAGAAAAGCAAATATAGCATCAGCAAAAGAGGATCCTGAGTGATTTGTGTACTCCAAGACCCTTCAGTATTCCAGAAAATAAATCAATGCCCCGTTTTGGACATTCTCAAAACTATCTCCAGAGCTTTCTGGGGCAAGGAGCCTCTTGGCTTTGGAGTTCAGACAAGGCCTGATAACATGTAGCCTTCAAGCACCCAGGAAAATTCCCTGGGTTATCCCACAGAGCCCACCCACCTTCCATCAGTTCTGTCCACCTTATCTACCCGACCTGCACCACTGCCTGAACCCCCAAAATAAGCACAGTTCATCCTAAGGAGCCCCAGCCATGCCCTAAAAAAGGGCTCAGTAGCAGGAGAAGGCTTGTGCTCTATCCCTCTGCTTTTGCTCCAATCCTTTCCACTCTGACTTCAGAGAAAATCCCCTAAAATGCAGGCTGGGAGAAGCACATGCACTGCCCAGGCCCTGTGCTGCCAAAGGAACCTCAATTTCAACAAGACACAGCTATAAACAGGACATGATGCAAACGGGGCCTGGAATCCAGACAGTGTTTGTGACCAACCCTCCTCCCCAAATCCCACTTCCAGACACTCAGGATTGAAGAAATCAATCACAATTTTAACATTTTAGACATTTAGCTCGAAGAAAATTGCCCCATTCCCTCAGTCAAGGACAAAATACTCTCTATACTAAGGAAAACGATGGAATTCCCATTTCTGGGGACAACCACTGACCCGCTCTGAAGCAGTCTGTTCCTGAAGGATTGTAACCCCACAGAAGGGACCCATGGGAAGAGTGTGAGTGATCTCTCCCTGCCCTCATCCCAACCCACAAGCCTTTTGTTGGTTCTCTCCCCCTTGTCCAGTCAGGGAGGGGAGGGATAGAGCAGCTTTGGAAGGTACCTGGAGTCCAGCCAGGGCCAACCCACCCCGGGAAAATTCTGAAATCCCAAAGATTTTCTGTTGTTGTGAAACAGAAAAGGAGTGATCAAAATGTCCCAGAAGCAGGAATTTTGAAATGTTGTTTTAATTCCCTCCCACATACAAACCAAAAAAAAATCCCTTGTAGTGTTTCCTGAGGCTGCTGGTGCAGGCCAGAGCTTCTCATTTATGCAAGGAGGCAGGAGACCCTCCACTCCACCTCAGAGTATTCCAGGAGCTGTGAGCTAGAAGTGATTGTCTGACAAAAAGAATATCCCAGCCTTCCTCCAGAGCTCTGCCAGGTTCTCACCCTGCTCCAATTCCCAGCGTTTCACTGTGCTGGAGTAAAACACTACACAGCTCTGGAACCAAGTCACCTGGAGCTGAGAACTCTGACTCCTTCCAGCCTCTGGCTCCCCTGGAAGCTTCGCTCAGCAAAGCAGACACAGCCTCATCCTACCAGGCTGTAAAACAGACTGTGGCAAGGGGACAGAACCACTGCTGCAGCAAGAGGCACCAATTCCCATTTCCCTTCAGAATTCTGCATGTGTGATGGTCCATCTTCCTTCTCCAGCACACAAGGAGAACATCATTCCTACATGCTCCTGAAGGTACTGTTCCCTTCACCCTTCCCTTCATTTTAAGCTACAGTCAGAACACAAATGCACTGAGCTACTCCTGGAAAGAAAAAACATTTAAATCAACTCATCTCCTGTGTTGACCCCCAGAGGAAACACTGGGGCAGAGCTTTTCACTGAGAGGGAAATTCTGTTCAGGGCCAGGGCTTTTTGGTGTGTTATTCAAAGGAAGGGAGAGGATTTGCATTGCCAGTCCTGCAGCACCACTTCCAGCACAGCCCACACTGCTTACCTTCCTCCTTACCCACTCCTTCAGCCTTCAGCAGGAACATATCCGTGTGCAGGGTGCCCTTGTCAACATCCTTCTTAATTCTCTGCAGGGAAGGCAAACACAGGAATGCTTAGGGAAAAATCATAGGAGGTCCAACTGAAAATGCAAACACTGGGACTGGGCAAGGAGAAGCCAGCCAGGAGGCCACGCTGTGGCCCTGAAGCATCACACCCATGGGGTTCAAACCAGGAACTTCCTGTGATGAGCCACAACTTCTGATGTGACAGCCAGGAAGGGCTCTCCAGGCTGCAGACCTGGCACTTGGGGCCCTATGAAGACTATGGGATGCAGTTTAGGGGCAGGAATTTTGGCACCCAGATAAGAGAAATAAATTGCCACAGGGGATTAAAACCAACTGTTTGATTACAAAGGAAGGAAGGATGAGCAGCACCAAGGAAACAGGACACCCAAGGCCCTGCTTTTTACTCTGCCACAGAAGGATATCAAGAAGAGCACCTTGTGCCTTCTCCAGCTGTAAAGAGAGCAGAATCCTACTCCCCAAAGTGGCACGCGATAACTTTCCACAGGGCTTGCAAGGCCCTCTAGGATTTTCCTCCCTCCTCTCTGTAAGCCCTGTGTCCCAGCACTCAGAGCCACACGCAGCACTGAAGGCAGCACTGCCACACCACTGCAGTAATGCCATTATCCACCCATCCTTCATGCACAGTTCCTACTTCCTTGGAATTCCCTTCTCCCTGGGGTGACAGCATTGCTGTGTAGCTGCTTCCAGGATCCAGCAGTGGATCCCAGGGTCCAGTCCTCAGGAAGATGAGCAGCAGAGTGCACCTGAGAACACAAGAGCACTGCACTGGCTGTTCTTGCCCCACGCCTGTGCCTTGCACCTGACAGGATTTTGTTACTGCAGGGCCTGCTGTGGTGTTGCTGCACAGCCTGGTATCCAGTTCTTGGGAATGGCATTAAATTCTTAGGGAAAAGAGAGGAAAGTGTGTTTGAGGCACTGCATGACAACGCTGTGATGTGGATGATGCAGAGGAGCCTCAGGGAAGGCTGATGGTGAAGTGATGGAGGAACAGGAGAAATGTGCTCACAGAGCAGCAAGAAAGAAGCTACAGTTCATTTAAGGAGCAGGGACTGCCTGAAGGGCTGACTTGGGAAATCTCTTAGTTTGGGGCTGGGCTACATGTCCTGCTGCTCTCCACACACACCTAATGAGTGAAGTGACAGACACACACCACTCTTCAGGACAGAATATCCCCCCTGGAGAGATCCAGTTCTGTGCAACCACTTCCACAAAGTCAACAACTCCGCTGTTCTACCTGCTGTCCTTGAGCAACAGGACATCAGGCATACAGGGACAGAAACCTGCAGGAACAGGCACCAGGGAAAGGCCCATTTTCTGAATAAGAGGTTAAACAGTGATGGAAAACTCCCACAGCCACTGGCTGTGGAAAACAAAGCATTTTTCGCACAGGTGAGTGGTTCTGAGGCACGGCTGGAAGAGCTCTGGTGCTGGAGACACGGTTGGAGGGGCTGGGAGTGTGAACAGACCCTTGAGAGGTCTGCCAGGGTAGGAAGGGACAGAAACACCCTCCAGGAAAGGTGCTGAAGTGTGGAATATACCCTTCACAGCCTGGCAGAGCAGGTATTGTGGCACTTCGAGTTCAGAGGGCTGTGAGTCACTGTGCTGAGCAAGTGCCACGCTCTGGCCAAGTCACACTCTGGTGTTTGTCACACGGGCCAGGAGCAGAAGTCACTGCAGGCCGTGGACAGCTCAGATCCAGCAGCTCTTTAGTCAGTCCCTCACTTTAAACACCCTTACAAGGCTCACCTGAGCTAAGAGCTGTCAGGGATGGGTGGGCAGAGGTTTCACACCTTGCAGAGTGCTTGTCTGCCAAGGACAACAGCAGTGGGGGTTCTGTCCTCCCCAGTCCCAGGCTGGCTGCAGTTTGTCCTGAAGTGCTGGACAGAGCCCACATTCCCAAGTGTAGGGCACACACAGGTCAAGGGTGAGGAGCACAGTGGGATGGGCACTGCCTACATGAAAGGAAGGGGAATAAACACTGGGAGAGCAGCTGCTTCACTATCATACAAGCTGTGTGGAATAAGTGCATTATTTTTCTCCTGAACACCACAGAGCTCTCTGTAGTAAACACGCCGCGTATGCAACATGACAAAGCTCCCTGGGCTCAGAAAACCCCAATGAGGTGGAGTGGGAGTTAGTTATTTGTTGTCAAAGAGATGCCTGTTTTCCTCAGCTCACACTGGCTCTAAGCAGACACTTCACCAGCTGCTGTAGAGACCAACCCCCTCACAACACCCAGGACACCCCCCTGCCCCGAGCAAATCCTGTCAGCCACAGAGGCTCCTGTTCCCCCACTGTCCTTCCCACCTTGAAGTTCCAGATGTTTGTTTTCCAGTACAAAACTGGTTTGGATATGCACAGCCCACTGCTTGCACATACAGGTGCAGTTGGAAGTTAAAAGAGCTTTACAGGTATTAACTAAAAACATCCAGCTAAAAAGACAGCAAGGAAACCAAGACACAGAGAGCTCGAGAAGTGGAATAAGGATTCTCCATGTATAACATGCTAAACATAGGAGCTCAGCAGTGGTAAAATACACCCAATTAGCAGAAATCTTTAGCAGGCAGAGCTACAGAGGGAACCAGTCCCACCAGACCTTGCAATTCAGGCAAACACTTCAGCCCTGCCACAAGCAATCTACCAGCAGAACCCACTTCAGCTTTGCAATGCCTGCCACTAAAAAAAAACACCAAACCACCCCAAAACAATAACAAAAAATTCCCACATGCTGGTCATCATTGGCATCCCAAAGCCTTGCACACCCATGGCTTGGAGGCTGCACCTGCAAGGTGGAGCAGCATCAGCTCCAGCCCTTCGGTGCCAGTCAGGCTCGCTGTGCTCACGTTGCCTAGCAATGGAGAGGGCTCGGTGCCTCACACAGCCAAAAATGCAGCTTGCTGCAGCAAACCCCAGCCCCAGCACGAGAAATGGGAGAGGACATCTTTCAGATCAGCAGGAGAGCAAGGCTGAGCTCCTGGTGGAATCCTGAGGTGTGTTTTAGCAGAGCCGACAACACCCACAGCAGCCCCTTCCGTAGGAGATCATAGAAATTGCCTTTATCATCTCTAGGCTGAAGATGAAACAGATGAACCACTGTGCTAAGAATCCTGCATTTTAAAATATCAGGCACCAACATCTCAAGTTAGTCACACTCAGGGTTGTGAAGCTCCTTTTTCACCCTGTTTGTCACCACCTGGTCAGCAAAATCCAGTGGCAGGCACAGCAAAGGCATGGCTGGGATCGAGGTTCTGGTGCTGGAGTGCCTGAGACCAGTCACTTCATCTCTTCTGCCTCTGTTTCCCCAGCCATGAAAAAGACTTTCTTATTCAGGTCACATGAAGGGAATTCAGCAACATGGCCTGGACTGACAGACATTACCGAAAACAGACTCTCCACATTCAGTTCTCCACATCCAAAAAATCAAAGCAGAGCCCAAATCTTTGTTTGTGCCTTCCCAGCTCCCTACCTGTCACAGGACACAGACCTGTCACATCACAACCTTCCATAATGGGACACCCACATTATGTCCATATTAAAACACAAGAGCTATCAGGATTATCCCTCCTCTTCCCTCCAAACCAATTCCTACCACATATAAGCCTGGAACAGCTCTGGCCTCAGGAGGCCCCCACATAAATCTGCCCCTGGTTTACAGCACACGAGCAACTTCGTCCTGCCTCTTATTAGAATTCCTGCATGACGTGGTGAACAGTGCTTTGCTTGGACACCTGCCTGGCTGCATGTGCAAAAATGTCTTCATATGCCTCAAAATGTCTTCACAGCACTCCTGAATGGAGTATCTGCCTCTGCAGCTGGAGACAAGGAACAGGTCTTCTCCTGTACCTGCCCAACTCCAATTAAATTTTGATTTCTCCCAAGAGTTCCCCAGGCAGACACACAAGCCAAACACACTTTCTCCACTTTAAAGCAAACCCAGACACTCAGCTCCACAATATAAGCAAAGATACAACAAGAATTAAACAGCCACACATTAATGAAATCGTGTCTCTCCTAGAGGGGCTATATCCTGCTGAATTTAATTTTCAAGAGCATGCTAAAGGTTTGTTGCCTTTGCAGCTCCAGAAAGCTGTAGAGAAAATTCTGTCCAGTGCTTTGGTCAGTTTGTGCTACAAAACCAGAGTCTGTCAGGAATGGCCCATCAGAGAGAAGCATCAGTGACCTCTCTATATTACAAAGGAAGCAGATTCCTAACAGGAATGGCTGTTTTAATCTAAAAGCTGTTCTCCAAGCTGCAGAGGAACTTCCCCCAGCTCTTATCCTTGCCCAGTGCCCTGCAAAAGCTGAGGGCAGCTTTGCCTCCCCCCATCCCTCCTACTTCATTTGTATGAGCCCAAACCAACCCAGAGCAGTGGGACAGAGCCCACCCTTGTGAAGTGGAACAGAACAACTGCAGACACACCTCAATTTTTATACTTCCCTGAGGCTCAGTGAGCACTTGAAATTCAGCTTTCAGTAGCCAGGAGATCCACATCCAGCAGAACATGTAGGCTCACGCTTCCTTCCCACCCTCAAGAGTGAGGGAACAGGACAGAGAATGGAACAGGACAAAGCCCTTTCAGGTAGAAAATGCCTCTGTGTTGTTACTGCCATTTAATCAAATGCACATCTGATGAGACAGAGCTCAAAGCACAGGCCCTGAGGAGGCACAAACGCTTCTAAATATACAGACAGACTGACTCCCTTCTCTCCCCTTTCCCTGCTTTCCTCCTTTGTTCATTTATTCCCACCAGAAGAACAAGGCGTCCTCCTCCCCCAGCAACGCGCTGCTGGAAGCGCTGCCGTTCCACGGAGACGGGAGCAGCAGGATTCGGGGCTTCTGTCTGCACTTGCAACATGAAAAGCTTTTGCAGGAGCCTTTTGCTCAATGAAATATTTACTTCCTGCTGCCCAGCACGGAGACAGGGATCCTTGGTTATGTGGCTGAAGGGCTATCCGGTGTAAATTACCGTGATTAACAGGGCAAGGAGCGGAGCAAAGGGAGGGTGGTGCTCATCAAAAGTCTTCTCGGGCTTACTGAGTTGGCAAACTAGTGCTGCTTGCTCACCTCTCACTGATGGAAGAAAGCACAAGTCTCCTGGCAACTGCTGCTTTTAACCTGCCAGTGCTGGAACACAAATGAGTACTACCTGAGAATGTTTGAAGCTGGCAGCAGCCACCACCGTTGCTCATTCTCACCTCTGTTATGTCAGCTCCTCACACTGGATTAGAACAGCAGGGAAAGTAAAAATTAATTTTGACCAAGATTAGCCCCTCAGTCAGCATAGAGCTGCATGAAGGCACAATGAGAAGACAAGGTGCCTCTTCTGGTTCTCAGGCTGTGGATGAATGCTCTGACTTACCCCAAAGTCTCCCCTACCTGTTTGGAGTAGCCTCCATAGATGATTACGTTGCCCTCAGGACTGGCAGTCATTTGACACCCGGATCTTGGAGCAGGCCCAATCCCTGCTGGAGCCAGCTTGCTCCAGGTGAAGGAGTCCAGGTTGAAGGCATACACATCATTGTAATAGATGTAATCCCTGGGGAGAGCAAAGGGCACAGCACAGCTTTCTGTAATGGTCACCACTTAGGACAGGAGAAAGTATCACTTCAGCCTCTTCACAGTCCCCATGACAGTGTAGCTGTGATCTCACAGGGTGTGTGAGAGCCTACTGGAGAAGATGTTTCTAGAAGACAAGGCTCTGACAAGATTCACAGGCTGAAAGGGCTCTACTGAGCTTCAGCCATCCCAGTGACCCACCTGGCACTCTCGTGGAAGCCCCCAAAGACAATCAGCTGCCTTTTGCATGCAACCATTCGATGTCCACTTCGCCCAGAGGGGCCTCCTGATGCCCTGAAACACAAAGAAATTCCATTTGTCAGTAAAATTCCTGTTAGTGAATCAGCCCATTTTTATTGGAGTAACTGGCAGCTGAGCTGGTTGAGTTCAGCTTCTCCTGGAATGGGAAACCATGAGGAACTGTTTTTCCCCAGAACAGTGTGCGTGCTCTTCCAGGAACTCTTGGGATTTGCAACACAGGCAATTTTATTCCTAGATAAGTCCCTAACAGTACCTAAAGTCTAGAAGTCTCTTCTGCTGTGAGTCAGGAGCTAATTTTTCAGGAGAGTTTAATGAATAACAGTCAACTTGCACAACTGCAAGAAAGACACTCCAAACAAGAGATGTTTTCTCCAAGTACCAAAAGCCAGAGACTGGCTCTGACATCCACCTTTCTTCAATATCTCAGGCAATCACGTTCCCATAACACCTTCACTCATTCACCTGCACTTGGGATGTAACACCAAACTAGTGAAAAGATTTTATAAATCACTCAGATTTCCTCAAGAACAAAGGCATTGCAGCAAAACAAGTCATTGTTATTATCTTATCCTACTGAGGGAGAGTAGGGTTAGACTGGACATTGGGAAGGAATAATTCCCTATGAGGGTGGAAAGGCCCTGGCACAGGTTGCCCAGAGAAGCTGTGGCTGCCCCATCCCTGGAAGTGTCCAAGGACAGGTTGGACAGGGCTTGGAACAACCTGGGATAGTGGAAGGTGTCCCTGTCCATAGCAGGGGGTGGAACTGGATGATCTTTAAGGTCCCTTCCAACCCAAACCATCCCATGATTTTATGATTCATTCTATAATCCCACACACTAAAAAGCAGCCACACATCACTGTTCTCCTCTTTCAAGCCTTCCTGACCTTTCAGTTAAATGTGCTGCTTCCATCTCCAGAAACATGCAACACCCCCATCTGTCACATCCAAAGGCTCCCAGGAAGCTGGACATGCCATTCCTGAGGGGAACGAGGATGCACCTTCCTTCATGTTCACCCACAGCCTGAGCACCTTCTGAGAGAGAGCAAAAACTACTTCAGGAACTTGCAAAACAAAGGCAACTTTGGGCCAATCTGCAGGGAAAACATGGGTTTGCTATCTGTTTTCTGCCCCCATGGATTAATCCATCCCATTTTCACTCCCTGAGGAGTCTCCCAAGTCCACGCAGTTGCCACCACTGAACCCAGCAAGACTTCCCAAACAGGCAGCATTAACGTGTGTTAAGTGATTGCAGAATCAGGGCCTAAATAAAGAAGATGAAAAAAGCTACAAAATCTAAAGCCACAGCCCTCCTGCCACTCTTGAAGTGGCAGCAGGGAGCTGGGAATTGTGGTGATGGATTTCTGGGGAGAGAGAAAATGAGGGCCCTTATTCCCCATCGAAAATGACAACCTCACACCAGTCATAATGAGAAACTCCAAGCAGAACAGCAGCATTTGGGGAAGACTGAATTAATATTGATTGCTTGGAGTCTTTATTCTAACAAAGAGTTGGGTTTTCCAGGCATTTATTGAGTTTTTAAATACCCCCCTGCAGAACAGCACCTCTAGAATTAATTTCATCAAGACCTGAAATCATTATTTTCTCTTTCTGTAACAAAGCTCCCACATTATTATTCCGAAGGATGACACCTTTTAAACAATCTATTTTTCTTTTAAGGAGAGAAGGAATTCAAAACCAACATGAACAATAAAATCCTGTTCTCAGAGAAGTATCTTGTGCCATATTTCTCAGGCAGGTTTCCTCCAAGTTAAAAATCAATTCTGAACAATAAAAGGTTTGTTCATTGATGTGTGTGTTTTAATAAATAAGTTGCCACAGAAGTACAATTAACTCAAAGTCACAGACAAACAGTCAGGCAGGACCTCATGGCAACTCCAGGACCTTCCTGCAAGCTCCAAGACTTGTCCAATTGCAAACTGTCCCCTTTTACCTGTATCATCCCTCATGGTCCAAAACAAGCATTTTGGAAATGGTTTCCCAGGCTTTATGATTAATGCTCTACTTCATGGGGTTGACACTGGAAAGCAGACGTGTAGGAGGGAGCTGTAAATTCTCCAGATTTTTTTAAAAATAGATTAAAAGTCTGGATAAGGGCTGGCTCTACACATGTAGAGCATGAGTCTGATCAGAACTGCTCCATGAGGAATTTGCTTTTGCATGTGGAGTTACTCTGGGGTTTATAGTAACGTACCAAAAACTGAATTAAGCCTCCAGATTCCAGAATGCCATGTCCCAGTGGCTACAGAACTGCACGAGTTACGTTCCCATTCATTCCTTCATCCAAAGGATGCTCAGGTGAATCTTAAAAATGTTCAATACTAATAAAAGGGATGTTGCAGAGAACGTCCCATCAAAGGGGCACTCCAGGACAAAGCACTTTCATCCTCCAGTGCTCGAGGAAGCTGCAGCTCAGGATTTGTGTTGAGTGTTGACACTTGTGATTGCACTGGGGTCAGTGTGTACACTGTGTTTGCACACTCAGGTAGGAAGGACAGAAGGGAACACACAAGCGTCACAAGGCACAAAATCCTCAATTTAAATCCTTTGGGAAGTCAATCAACAGTTGCACACCCTGATCTACCAAAGAAAAAGCTCACAAGGCTTCTGGGTTGATCATCTACTTGATTTACATCAAAATACCCTTTTCTGCCTGATGTGGTAGGGCCTGATCTTTCTGGTGAGAGCAGGAGAGCAAGAAGAGGCGTCAATCAGCCACAAACCTGTGCTGAAAGTGCTCCTGCTCTGCAGTGACTGCTCCAGTTCTCTCTGCAAACACCATTAAACATACACCAGTGAAACGCTACCCTGGGATATTTATAGCACCACATCTCACCGAACTGCCACAGGAAGGATCATTAACATTCCAGAATTAGAAGGAAGGGAGCTGCACGGGCTCAGAATCAAGGCAGAGAATTCCAGAGGAGGGATCTGCCAGTTCCCAAGCCCAGTGATGCTCCCTGTCTCCTCCTCTCTGGGCCACGCTGAGTGAGGATGTTCTCTCTAGGAAGGAATGAGGCAATTAGGTTAAAATATTGCTGCTCTAAGGCAGAGTAACAAACAGTTCATGGACTGAGGGAACCTCCAGCATCACACACAAGATAAGGTGGCTCCACTAAGTCAAAGTCAGTTGTTGGCACGGCTTCTAACGGGCTGGGATTTGTTGTGTTTGGATCATCTCTGTGCATGCAAAATGCAAGGAAATACAGCTCCATCTTGCTAAATATAGCAACTTTTAACTCTGACAAGCAGCCTGACACCACTGTGCTCTGTGCTAGGAGAAAATGGAGCTCCACTTCCCCAGCAGACACAGCACAGGGATGTTTTTCACAGTTATTCAAGGTTTTCTCTTCATGAAGGTTTCACAGCCAAGCCTCTCTCCCGGCACCAAGATGTTCCGTGGCAGGAACTGTAGGCCAGGAAGGAGAACATAACTGTCTGAAATCTAAACTGTGGGGCTGGAATAACTAGATTTCCTAGAACTGCAAGTTTAGATCCCACAGGGGTCATCTTGGCTATTCAATCCAACAAACCCACACATCAAACCCACCTGAACCAGGGCACACGTGACCCTTCCCAGGAGAACAGGAACGGAAACCTTGTCTCTCTTGCCCAGACATTTCTTAATGAATAATTAATTGTTACTCCGTTATTTGCACTAAAATGACATCTTCCAAACCAACTAAGTTTACTTAATACAAGCCTGTATCCCAAATGTCAGGTAACACTGCCACCACATTGGATACATGGAATTATGGTCTGCTGTGTGAAGGCTTGTTGTACCAGGGATGGTTCCCCACCATGATCCACCAAACCTACACAAGCTGCCCCTTCCATTTATGTTCCCAAATGTGTTCACTCTCCCAACACCACTATCCCCAAAGCTGACCCTCACTGTCACCACTTATCCCAGGTTAATGGCAATCCAAAATAAGTTAAGTGCTTGACTTCAGACACACACGAGAAACCTCTCTGGAAAACAACAGCAGCAAGAAAAGCAAAATGCTGAAGGAAGTGAAATGCAGCACACGTTATGATCATAGTTTTAAAGGAAATGGGGGAAAAAAATCCCTTTAACAACTCAAAGTCATGTCTGCCCTTTCCCCTTCTCCTTCCCAAGCAGACTGTAATCAAGATGCCATATGGAAAAGCAAAGAGGCAGCAGAGAGCTGATTTTCACGCTCAGCCAGGTTAGGATTAAAACAAAGCCATCCCCTCTCAGGCTCCTCTACCAGCTGCCTCATTAATGCAGCTCCTGGAGCTCTGCCCACGGATGGGGAGATGTGCCTTGTTTGATTCCAACCCTGGGACTGGGGTACGGGCGTTCCCAAAATTCCAGCAGGGTTGAGAAAGAGACGTCCACCCAAATACGTCAGGAAGCTCAAACGGAGCAGATCCTGCATGGGGCAGGGAGAGAGAGAAGATCATCTCCCCAGGGCACTTCCACCCATGTAATTTATGATGCTCACTTAAAAAAATGTCCATCTTTTGTCTACTAGGAAACAATGAGGCATCAATGTCTGCAAAGGCCTCCTCCCACCGTGGTGTGGCAGCCAAGGGGACATGTGACAGTACCTGGGATGAAGGGCAGCTCTGGGAGGCTCAAAGGGTGTGGTGCCTCCAATTTGCTCCAAGGTGGGATTGGGAGCTCACTTAGTCCACATGGCTCTGTCCTCACCAGCTGAAAGAGCCCAACACAACAAAATCTCCTGGGTTTAGTCCACCAGGGCCTGAGAATGCTGAGGGCATCCTGCAGCTCCCAGGACATGGGGACTCCATCCTGAGCTCCAGAGCTGTGCTCCAGCAGGGTGAGTTACTCTCCAATGGCTCACAAAACCCAGTCCATCTCCAGCCCTCGCTCTCCTTGCAGCTGGATGTCACCACTGCTCTCTAGTGAGGATTTTCCAATCAAGGGTTTGGTTGAAAAATCAAACCTTTCTCGCAGCATGGATGGGGAGCATCACTTCCTCTCACATGAGACTGGCAGGGAATTAACACAGTGCCCCTTGTCAGGCAGGATCAATGCTCCCATTTTGCAGGGAGAGGGAAAAAGGTAAGACAGGCACAGTGACTCAGTGTGTGGCCTCGGGCAGTGCCAAGGCAGAGCCAGGGTATCCATCTCTGCACAGCTCATCCTAAACTACCCTCAATTACTGTGCAAGAGGAGACACAGACAACAGCACACTCTGTAAATTGGGGGAAAAGTGACAACCTGGGCAGATTTAGGGTTTCCTACCTGAAGGAAGGACATGGAGTTTTTAAGTAGGAGTTCAACAGGTCAAACAGCAGATAAGCAAGTGATCAAAACCTGCTGCTTTCCCCAGTGCATCTCAAATACCAGCTGCACAGATAAAACTGTGCTCTTATTGATGCCACAGTCAAGACAATCCCCAAGTCCAGGAGGAAGTCAATGCCCAAGTCAGAACCAAAGTCACATGTCGTGCCTCAGTTCTCTGGACGGTACACCAGAACTCCTTTAATGCAAATATAAACATGAGCAGTAAAAGTGAGAAGCCAAAGGTTGAGGAAACATTAGCAGGGGACTTCAGGACAGTTCCACCGAAGGTATTTACACCTTCACTCCTGTCAAAAACTACTTCTGGCACCTCTTCACTTTTGACAGGTCTGAATTAATGGCTTGTTTATCCCAAGGAATCTCGAGGCAGCAAAGGCCAGTTATCAGGAGGAAAGCTGGCTCTGTGGAGAGACACAAACTGTTTTCTCAAGGCATTTTAAAACTGGGAGATCCTTGCACTGGTTTTGTACAGCCCAGGAAGATGAAGCAACAAGAACTATTCTGAAGTCAGACATTACACCACCAAGGTTGGGAGGACAATATCGAAGAGTCACTGAACATCAGGCTGGAAGGGACCTCAAGGATCATCTGGTCCAACCTTTCCTGGCAAAAGTCTAGACAAGAGGGCCCAGTACTTACTTGATCTGCTCCCAGGTCTTGGTAGCCAAGTGCAGGACCCAGAGATCCTTGTAGTGATAGAACTGCTCCCCGTTGGGAGATGCAAACTCCCCTCCAAAAATCCACAGCTGCCCCCCAGCCGTGGGCACCACGGCCGCCTGCCAGGGGAAGGAAAAGCTGGATCAGACAAGGCTTCAGGAACCAGACATAGGAGAACTTTATCAGTTTTAATCAGCTGCCTTGCTGGACAACAGCAGCTCACTGGGGCTGGAGGAAGGAGAATTTAAAATCCAAGTTACTTGTTGTTTAGCAAACCTTCCCTATAGGAAAGGAAAGCTGGCCAAGGAGCTGGGCTCTTCCCACCTCCTGGCATCACTTCTGCAAGTTCAAAGTTTCCAAGGAAGCATCGTGGGATTAGTTTAACAATAATTGTTCAAAAACAACCAACCAACCGAAAAAACCTCAAAGCACAGGAGGAAATGTGCAGCATTTGGACAAGACTGTTACTGCTTTGATTGGGGCAGTAGAGGGAGGGAGGAGAGTATCAGAGGGGGTTTGTAGTTTTTTTGCACAGAGCAGCACCAAAACACCTCTGGGATGCAAACTGCCAGTTAAAAGCAGGAAGGAGAGCAAGACTCTGCTTCATTAAAATTATCTGTTAAGGACTAAGGAAGAAGGAAGGAATCCCAAAAAAGAAATTAAGTGGCTGTCAGATTTCTTCCTTGAGTGGGAACTGTGTGTTTATTTACACTGTAAACATCTCCTATGTGTGTTTTTTCCAGGGTACCCATCACAGATCAACACTGGGATAATCTCTTTACTCACTAGGCCTTCGTTCCCTCTCTCTCCCAGCAAACAAGATTTTTAGCATCACACATGGCCATGCCCTGACATAAACCAGCCTATACATGCAAGGATAAAACACAGGAGAAAATCCAGTGTGTGCTTTCAGGAAGGATTTGTGGGAACATGAAGTTATCCAAACAAAGGGGATGAATGCCTGGTTTTCATGGGTACCAGGTGCTTAAAACTTAAGGGAAGGTACATCCAACAGCCTGTTCATACTTGTGGGTGACCTTTTCAAGAGCTGGCTTGGAATTCATCCCACAACCAAACCTTTTCCTTGAACAAGTGACAACATCCATCCATAGCTATTCTCACCTCAGCTCTGTTCATAAAATCCTTAACTGATTTGGGGTGGGAAGGAACTTAAAGTTCATCTTATTCAAACCTCCCTGTCATGGGCAGGGACACCTTCCACTCTCCCAGGTTGCTCCAAGCCCTGTCCAACCCAGCCTTGGACACTTCCACAGATGGGGCAGCCACAGCTTCTCTGGACAACCTGTGCCAGGTCCTCACCACCCTCACAGGGAAGAATTTTTTCCTAAATTTCTTCCTGTTGAACAGCTGCGATGAAGCCAATGTAACCTAGAGCACTGTGTGTCAGAGACCAGAGATGACAAACAAAACATGTACACGACACCCACAGCCACACTTCTGTTCACCTCTGAGCTAATGCAGAATGTGCATTAAAAATGAAGCCACGAGGAAGACAACAAACCAGTCAGCTAATGAGGCTGAACTGTCTCCTGTGCAACTATAATTAATTATCAGACAGAAAACACCGCTGAAGCAAGACTGCTCGGATGGTTTCTCCTTTTATTGTTGTTGTAATCCAGCTGCAGCTCCTGATCTGCTCAGTTTCGATTCAGCTGCTCGACAGCCACCTGCTGGCTACTGGAATTCTGCATCTGAAATCAAGTTCTATCTTATCACAAAGTAACCCAAAGATCAAGTCAGAATCTTTCAACTGAAGAAAGGACACACAGCTCAGAGCAAACTGGGACTTAGGAGCAGCATAGCAAGGGTATATGAACCCTGATTGGGGTGTTGGATCTTACCAGGGAGCTCTAAAGAGCTTTGGCCATGGGGAGAAAAATGACATTCACATCCTGTACAGCAGCTTTTGGAAGGCAACAGTCACCCAGGCACTTGCTGGATAATCTAAAATAATCTATCAGCTGGGGAGGGCCAAAGACCTGCAAAAAATACAAGTCTTTGGTCCAGTTTCTAATGTCCAGGTGTTCACATAAAGTAAATAAACCTAAAATTTTCATCATCACAATCATCACAGTTCAGTGACCTGAATATCCAGAGGTGGAAAAGAGCCCAAATTCTACCTGCCAGCAGGAGTGGTAGTATCTGTAATGCTCATGGAAGTTGGCCTGTGGGCTTTAAGGAAATAATCATTCACAGCAACTCTGCCATTCATTTATGGCTTTTTGGTCAAATTCTATCTTATTAATTCAGTGCCCCCCTAGGATTATGGAGGCTGAGCTGGTCCCCCAAAGCTTCACTCCACACTGAATGTGATCAGAGAGCACAAGCACCTTAGACAAGCTTGTACAGGGCCCCTCAGCAGAGCAGATGAAGTGACACCACTGGCAGCCCATTAGAACAAGAATGAAGAAACCCTCAGGAAGAAAAAAAAAATCAAAAACCTATTCCCAATCACCTTCAGCACAGCTTTAGAACAATTCCAACTGCTGCTCTGGCACCCAGAGCTTTACCTGGTGAGCACATCGCCGTGGTGGGGGGTTGGGGATCTCCAGTTTGGACCAGCTGTTCTTCCTGATGTTGTAAATGTAGAGGTCGTTGTACAGGTACGTCTGTGGGACAGGGAGAGAAAACACCACCTCAGCTCAGCCTGCACGGGGTTATCTGTGAGTCTGGGGTGAAAATTGCAAAGCACATTGGGCAGGAAAGGAGGACAACCACCCCCTCCACCAGATGTTCCAGACTAACACACCGGACTGGAATGTTCTTTCCCAAACCCTTGGTGACAGCTTGAGATATGAGGACTTAAGCTGGAGCTTAACAGAGATATTCAGGTTAAAGTTGTTTAAATCCAGGGCCAGGAACAGCTTCGAGTAGTGGAGGAAGCAGAATTAGTTTAGCACATCACACCGGGTGATCCTGAGGCAGCCAAAAGTCACTGTCAGGCTGGAGTTTTCCACACCAGTTTGTCTCCAGGAGCACAATAAACACTTGCAACTTGCAGAAATTCAGGAACAAGAGTGGCCACGTGCAAATATTTGCAACTGCTCCCACCTCCAAGGCAGGTACTGCCTTGCCAGCAGCAAAGGTGCAGAATTATCTTGTTTTGAGAAGTGAAAGAGAAGAGATTCTTCACCAGTTATCACAAATGAGGGGCAGATATGGCTACAATTAAGTCTGGAGAAATTATGAAGCCCTGAAATATTGATGCTGAGACAATCACTCTGACTCCTTAATGGGTTCCAGCGTGTCTCCTTCCTGCCAACAGCCCAGGCATGAGACAGAGCCACGGCAGAATTAAAAGGCTATTTTGCTCTCATTCAGGGACAAATCCATATTTTATGACTCCTGCCTCAAATTTCCCTTCAAATGAGACTCGTGCAAATTACAGTAAAAGGTGGGGAGGGGGTAGAATAAAGAAGGAAAAAAATGGAAGTATACGTTACTTTTTGGCCATTGAAATATTCACCTCCAAAAAGGATCAACTCGTCTCTCTCAGGGTGAGCAGAGAGGGAACCGTTCAGCCTGCAAAGAAAAGAGGGAAGGACAAAACAGATGTGTAAGTCCTGTAAAACTGTGAACCTTGGAACCTTCAACTCTGCTGCCACCAGCACCTCTTCCCCGCAGCCACAAAGGTCTCTCCATCATCTGCCAAATGACTTGGCTGTGATATTCACCCCAGGGCTAAAAACTTCCCCAAAGAAATTAACTTCTTCAAAACTTGCAGCAAGATGAATTGGCCACTGTCTGAAACCTTCTCCTATTTTAGGAGCACACGTTACACTGTCATTTAACTCGCCTTCTGACGTGAGCTCCTGAATTTTAATGCTGGTGTGTCAGGAACAAAAATGAGTTTTATGAGGGCACAGAAGTGGGGGCAGAACTGGGCTGTGTTCTCTCAAGTTTTCTGCGTCATTATTCAGCAGTTGCCACTGTCACTGCTCTCCTACACACCCCAAGTCTGTGAACCCCCACTGATAAAGTGTCTTTTATCTCATCTTTTTGCCCCTGAAGTGCCTTGCAAAACTTCCCCTTCACTTCTATTTTTCCTCAAAGTCCTGTAATATAACCCTGCTTTGCCTCCTTTGTGCTGATGTTTAAAAAGTGAATTTAAGGCCAAAAAAAAAAAAAAAACTTTTAGTCCCTCATTTAACCAGGGATTCAACTGCTCTACAAGTGACAGCCAGAGCCTCACACAACCTCTTACCTGGGTGAGGGGGGTGGGCAGGATGACTCAATAACTTGGGTCTTTTTAGCATCTAAACTCTGGAATTCTGCTATCAGAGCTTCAAGATCCTCCTGGAAATAAAAAGAGACGTGAGTTACTTGAGGTGCACAGAGACACCTGCACCCCACAGGAAACCATCACTCACACTCATGATTTCCCCTTTTTTTAAAAAAAAATGGACTGGAAATTCTTTTGTATCCAAAGAAACCTCACTTATCTTTATACTCTTTCAACTTCACCAAACTGAAAATAAGATCTGCCTCCCAAACTGCAGATACACCGAGTTCGAGGGCAGAAGCTGGAATGCAGCAGGAGGGAGGTTCTGATCCATGGACTCTCCCACAGCCCCACTGCTCATCACCTCCCTTCAGTTCATCATTTGGAAGGCGTGGTCCAACCAGACATTTCCGAAATCTGGGAATTTTGCCTCTGCAGCATGGCATCAGCTCTCCCTGCAGCCAGTACACACCTACAGTGGCACTTCCCACGTCCTTAAACTTTGCAGTATGCTGGTAAGACCCAGGTTTGACCACAGCAAGGTGGGTGTTTTGAGGCTTAAATACAAGCCCCGACTCCAGGAGTGAGAGAAACAGAAGATTTAATTTGATTTTAATACCAGGAGAAAAGGATGGGGTGGATGGAAAGCAAGAAGGACCCCTAAAGCGCATTTTCTCCTCCTCCTGCTGTCACATACAAGGGATTTAATTTACAGCCACTTAGAGAATCACAGAATGGTTTGGGTTGGAAGAGACCTTGGAGATCACACAGTTCCACCCCCCGCCATGGGTAGGCACACCTTCCACCGCACCAGGTGGCTCCAACACTATCCAAACTGGTCTTGGACACTTCCACAGATGGGGCATCCCTGGAAGTTCAAGCTCAAGGAGGGTTTGGACAACGCTCTCGGCACGTGGTGGGATCCCTGGCGTGTCCTGTGCAGGGCCGGGAGTCGGACTGGATGATCCCAAAGGGTCCCTTCCAGCTCATATATTCTACGATCCACAGTTTCCCTGGACAGCCCAGGTTCCTTCTGGATTCGCTCCTTTGCTTCCAACCCGCTCCCGCGACCTCCCCGTCCCCCACAGCGGCCGCAGCGCCGGGGGGCACGGGGGTCCCGCCCTCACCTCCTCCTTCTTGGCCCGGCGGGACACCTTCTTCTCCATCTTCGCCGCCGTCTTCTCAGCGCCTTTCCCTTTCTTGTCGCGCTTCCCCTTCTTCCCCATTGCGGCGGGGCCGGGATAGCCCCGGGATGGGCCCGGGATAACCCGGGATAACCCGGGATGGCCGCTCACAACCCCGCGCCGGGCGCTCCGGGCGAGGGAGACGGCGCCCTCTGCCGGCCCGGAGGACTCATGGCGGCCACAGACCGGCCGCGCTGAGGGAGCGCTGAGGGAGCGCTGCGACTGCCCCGACCCGGCGTTATGAGCCCCGCAGGGTCCGGGAGAGGGTTTAATGCGGCCCCACACATCGTTTGTCACCTGCCGCACTGCCCGGACACGCCTGAACACGACCCGATTTCCTCCTGCCCCGAGGAGAAAGTGGAGCCCACAAAATGGCCCCCTCCCCTCACACAAAATGGCCCCCCCTCAGGGGAGGGGGGACATGGGAGGGTCACAGCCTCCAGCGGCGCCCGGGTCAGGTCGGGTTGGACAAGGGGATGGTCCCGGATTCGTTTCAGCGGTGCCCAGTGACAGGACGAGCAGCAGTGGCCATAAATAAAACACAAGAAGTTCCACCTAATATGAGAAATAACAACTTTCCATGAGGTGTAGGTAGAACAGCTGCCCGGGGAGGGTGTGGAGTCTCCTCCTCTGGAGACATTCCAAACCCTCCTGGATGTGTTCCTTTGTCACCTGCTCCAGGTGACCCTGCCTTGGCAAGGGATGTTGAACTGGAAGCTGTCCAGATAACCCATCCAACCCTAAATATTCTGTGATTCCGTGATTAGGAGGAATTTCTTCACAAAAAGGGTGATTAAACATTGGAAGGGTCTGCCCAGGGAGGTGGTGGAGTCCCCATCCCTGGAGGTGTCCAAGGAATGACTGGATGTGGCACTCAGTGCTCTGGGCTGGGTGACAAGGCGGGGATTGGGCACAGGTTGGACTCGATGCCAGAGCTCTTTTCCAACCTAAATGATTGTGTCACCTCGTGGAGGCTCTGTGCAGAAATAAAACAAAATGAAATAAAATAAACCACAGCAGAATTCTTTGGGGACTGGGTTGTTGAGCAAACGTTTTAATTTCCAGCTGCAAACTTTTGGGAATGGGGTTTATCCAGGCCAGTCTCCAGTGTGGAGAGCCAAAGGAAGCGGCAAGCACTGCAAGGTGATGCCAGGCAGCTCCTTTTTCCCTTGATGGCGGGGAAGGAATAATGATGATTTGGGTTTTTTTAAATGGAGTTTCATACAGATGCTGAGCCCAGGGAAAAATTCCTGGGAAAACGTCTCCTTTGAGCACCTAACCAGCATGTGTGCTCTAAATAGGAGTTGAAAGACATGTTTTAGCTGTGAGTTTCATCCCACTGTGCATCCAAATTGCCTCCATGATTGTTTCTCGTGGAACAGAAGGACTAAAATCATTATATTTTTCCCTGAATTCCCACAAAACCCCACAGGGTGGGTTGCAGGGTGTGGGAAGCAGGGTGGTTTTCATCACTCCAACCTACTGCCTAGCCCCAAACCAGTGAGGACATCCACGAAGGTACAGCTCAACACCCACCAAATTATCCCAAACATCCAGTACGTACCATGGAATTGCAGGATGGATCCCTTGCTTTGAACATCCACCCACACTTGAACCTCAGGCCTTGGAAACACAGCCCTGAAGCACAAAGGAGAGAGCTGGGAAAGTTATTGCAGGCAACAAACGTCCCGACCAGTGCTTTGTTTTTCTGTTTGTTCTGGAAACATCAGGGTTACAACTGAAGCTGCAGCGTGTCAATATTTACATGCAGGAAGGGAACAGAAACTACAGAGAGACCAGGTCAAGTGAATGGGGCAATTTCTCAGCCAACATAAGATGTGGGAGCTCTGCTGAGTTCCCTGGAAGGACACACAGGGAAGTCTCCCTGCTGCTTCTTGGTCTTCGACCTCAAAAAGACACCAGTGTGTGAAAACATGTCCTATCCTCACGTCTACAGGTCACTGATTCCTCTGGGCCAGATCTTCCATCTCATTTTAGGGGGACTTTGAAATTAAAAAAGTTGCATCTTTATGAAATTAACCCTCAAAGCCTTCACCAGGCTTTCCCTGAGGGAGCAAGAAGTCGTCCTGCACACCATGCTCCAGTTGCCCCCTTTCTAGTGCTTCGTCATTCATGGCTTTTTCCATAAGTGGGTGTTCAGAGATCCTCTGAGCTCAAATTGCACTCTCCAACCTTTATTTTCCATATTTCTGGGTGTAGTTTCCGATGTTTGGGGTCACCACGTGGGGAACTGCGTGGGGCAGAACATTCTTGGTGTGAGTTCTCTGATCCTTTGAACTCTGTGGCCTGGTTTCTCACGGTTGATGTGAACAAAGAGGATGGAAGGGCAACAAAAGCTTTGCACTGCACTTTGAAAATGCAAAGCATGATATAAGCATGAAACAGGACATGAACTTCTCAGGGATAAATATATAAATATATGGTGAGAAATCTCTGTATCTGTGATGGTACCTTAAGAGATGAGTCTTCCTCAGTGGAATCTGATGGATGCTGTGAGTGTACAGATGACACTGAAGACATGAGAGCACCAATATGCCCTAAAACATGAATTTAAGACTCCCAAACTGACTCAGGCGAGCTCTTTCCACAGGCTTTTCACAGGGAAAGGCCGCTCCACATTCCCACACGCTGTGCACGGATGGAGTCCCACACTCACTCAAACATCTGCACACAGCTGGCAGACAGATGTGGCTCCGAGTTCAGGCCCACACACACGTTCCCACGCAGAGTTGTCCCCGCTCTCATTTCTGTTCTGTCCCAGGTTTTGTTCCCACTTTGTTTGGAGGAGCGTGGACTTTGCCTGTGTCTGCACATTTCATTCTGCTGCTCTGAAGTTGTCCTGGGCTGTTGTATCTGGCAGCCCCTCTCCAGCTCTGACCTATACAAAGAGCACGTGGTTTGATTTTGTTATTTTTTTATAGTCTGGAATATGCTCGTTCAACAGGATGGTAAATCCAGCTGTATCAGCAAAGTAAAGAATAACAGGCATGAAAGCCTCAGAAAAGGCTCAAAAGCTTTTTCCCACAAGTCTTCTTTGTGCTCTAACACTTGATTTATTTTTCCCTTGTTAATGCTTTCTGAAGCCAGTAGCAAGGAAAGAATTAATGCCACAGATTAGGCGGGAGGACATGCTGACAGCACAGTAACTAAATCAACCAAACATGCATTGCAGTGGCTGGAATTGCTGGTGTTGGGAGGATTTCAACTCCATCTGTATAGAAAGATGAGGGTAAAGATAAACCCTGCAAACAGAGAGATATGTGGGGCAGTGGTTTGGGGTTTTGGGTTGGAAGGGAACTTTGAGCTCATCTCATTCCAACCCCTGCCATGGGCAGGGACACCTTCCACTATCCCAGCTTGCTCTAAGCCCCATCCAACCTGGTCTTGGACAGTTCCAGGGATGAAGAGTCAAACCATGCTGGTGGGATTTTGGATTTTGGTGGAGGCCTGTGGAGCGAGAGGAGAGCACTACAAGGGAACACAAAGTTATGCCAGTGTAACACCTGGGAACACCAGCGTGGTGGAGGAGATCATCAGACACAGGGCTCCGAGTGCTCTGTGTGCCCTGGGACATGTCAGGATGCCCAGGAAGAATTTACTTTCTTTAACTGCTGTGTGGTGAATAACTCAGAGAATCACAGAATGATTAAGGTTGGAAAAGGCCTTTAAGACCATCGAGTCCAACCATCAGCACCACCACCATGGTCACCGCTAACCATGTCCCCAAGTGCCACATCCACAACACTTCCATGGATGGTGACTCCACCACTGCCCTGACAGTCTGTTTTACAACCCTTTCCATGGAAAAAAAGTTTTATTAACACCTAATCTAAACTTATCCTGGTGCGACTTGAGGCCGTTTCCTCTCATCTGGTCACTTGTTACCTGGGAACAGTTTTCCTGCTGGAAAGCTTCACGTAATGAGTCCAAATGCAGGTCCCTCAATCTCCTCCAGGCTCAGGTTGCAATGTTCCTCCTCTGCACATGCAAAATAGGTGGAAAACTACTCAAAATAGGCCTTTGGGCTCTGGTGACAGCCAGAGTCATTCATCTCTGAAGGCAAATACAACTGAGGGTCAAAGGCATGTCTATAACCAAGGCTTGACTTTGAAAAAGTTGGGAATTCTGCTTTTTTATCCCAGCTGTGCTCACAGTCCAGCAGAGGCCCCTCAGCCCCTGCTTATTCCTGGAGCACCTGGAAGTGGATTGGGAGCAGGCAGGCGGCTGCTGCAAGGCAGCAACAGTCCCTTTGCTCCATTCAAGGCTCATTTACAACCAGAAGCTGATAACATCTCAGGGCCATTCAATTGGCTTCCTGGATCTTCTGTTTGGAAATCGGTGCTCTAATATCTTGGAAACAGAGGAAGCTGAGGAAGGCAGAGGCTTCCCTGGAGGGAAGTACAAAGCGTGGCTGTATTCAGATCCACATCCCAAGGGACATTCATCTAAATCCATCAGCAAGTTGCCTACTTGAGGCACAAATTCCCAGTGCATCTGTGAAAGCCCTTACCTTTGCCATTCCAGTGGGATTTCATTGGGGTTTCTGTGCTTTTGAAAAGAAAACTGGAGCAAATAAGTAAGGAAGTCTCCACCATGGAGCCAGAGCAAAAAAGTTTGTGTCTCCCCCCTCCCCGAGCTCTGGTTTTAACTGGGAGAACTTTGTAGTGTCTGATTTGTGTAAAACAGCTGGACCTGCCTCTGAGGGTGCTGAGGGAACGCTGACTGTGCTGCCAAGGGATCCTGCATGGAGCACTCACCTTCTCCTCCAGAGCAGCACAAAATCGCTGAATTCTTTCAGCTGTTCCCCTTGAACAGCTGCCACGTGGGAGAGATCTGCTCCCACTGTTTGCTGAACGTGGCTTTCCAATTCACCACCACCCTCAAAAGCACCAGAATGCAGAAATTCTCCTCAGAGAAAGGTTTTGGTAACTCAGTACCAGCACACGTGTGTGCTCATGTCTCTGAGTGAGCACAGGAGGACAAGGGCTCTTGAGGGAGCGATTGTTTTCATGCTATTCCAGTCAAACTTCCTTGTAGAGCAGCCAAATTCCCCTGCACATGTCACTGCCTTCCTTTGCTTGTCCTTTATCCATCAGGGGTCGCTGCAGGGACTGGGTTTTGCTTCC